CTCACTATTAATACATAATATACTTGATTCGCTGCTGCTATAAGATTTATAAGATAAATTTATACTTTTCTCTTGATTATTGTTAACTTTAATTGTTATATCTAATATCATATCTTTTGCTTTTCATTTATTTTTTAATCTTTTTGAACAATGATTACAAGTAGCATGCTTGTATAGTGGATTATTACTATCTCTTGGTTGGTAGAAATCAATGCTTTGCTTTATTATGTGACAACTATTACATGTTTTTCCAAGCAAGTTACTTTCACTCATTTTTTTGTTTGTATTTATAGCAATGGGTCAGTTGGGTTAATTGGATCTTTTTATTTTGTCAGTTGGGTTAATTGGACCTTTTTATTTTGTTGGTTGGATCAATTGGATAAAATTGTGAAATAGAGATTAAGGTGTATGAAATAGAATTTGAGATCTTTAAGTTTAATGAATAATTGATGTTTCAAATATTTTATTATTAGCGATATTATAATATAATAATTTGGGATTAATGCTACAATATAATTTTTTTTAAAGATCAAATTTCATTGTTCTTTATATCTTCAAATTTAATATGATTGAAGTAATCAAGATCAAGTTAATCACGGTCGATGTTGATTTTTTTTAAGTTTCTTGAATTCGGCGCGTCTTTTTGATGCGGCCGAAATTTCGGTCGAAATAATTATGTACGACGCAAGGTTCGGATATTCGGATGGTTCGTATTCACGTGATCCGAACATTTTTTTGCCGTGGCTAGGGTACTAAAATTTAGTGTCTTAGCGTCACCCGAAAAATGGTAGCCGGAATATTTTCCAGGAAACATAATTTTTATTTGGACGGATTACGGTTAGGGTTAGTGTTATCGTTATAGCTAAGGTTAGATATAATTAGATATAAAACTGCCTCACAGACATTTCAAGCTAGATTTAAGCTGCATTTTCATCTTGTGTCGGATTTGTTTTTCTGGCAGCTCAAATAATTGCGCCACAATGATCTATCCTGCTAATACTTTTTCCGGGTGACGCTAAAATTGTTAAGAAAAGGGTCGGATCATGTGATATTTGCGCATGTGCGGAAAAATCGTTACTAAATTCTACATTCTAATTGGTTAATGATTTGTTAATCTAAAATACCCTAATCATGGCGAAAAATGGTCGGATCACGTGTCACCAGTGGCATCAACCAATAAAATGCGTAAATTTTTGATCAGCCGGCAAAACAAATCCGGCACGAAAAATGAAAAAAGCAAAAAATACGGGAACCAAATGTCTAAATCTAGCTTAGTAGACAAAAAATGTCGGGGAGTCAATTTTACGTATAATCTTGGCTCCAGCTCCAGCCTAACCCTAATATAACATTTAACAATAACCTCTATTACCTGTTAATTAACCAAATTTATCATTAACGGTTATTTTCCCGTCCGTATTTAGTGCATATCGATATTGTGTTAAGTTTAGCCGGAATTTACCAATGGATAATTTTGGCTGAATTTAAAGCAAATCGAAATCTTGGGTCCCTGGCTACAATTATTTTAGTAATGTGAAGATCAAAGTATTCACTTGCGAAGAAATTCTTTCAAGATAATATGTTTGAAGTTATTGATTTGCCGTTCAACAGTTTAGATCTCAATCCGACGGAGTATCATTTAAAAAAAATAAAAAAGCAGTTGTTCAAAAATCTTGATGAACTGTTTTATGTTGACTATCCCATAATTAAAACAGTTCTTTCATTTTAAAAGTTCCATAAGTCTTGTTCATTTTTCAAAAATACAATTAATTAGCTTTAAAATGATATAATAACTACTAATAGAAATATATATAACTTGAAACTTTCAATTTTCGTATATAAAGCGGGAGAATTTTTTTTAGTTTTCAATCAAAAGTTTTTGCATTTCAAGTTGCCACAAGTCTTGTATTATTTTTTAATATATAATCAATTAACTTTAAAATTTAGAAATAATTATCATAAAAAATTTAGATATTTACATAACTTGAAAATTCCCATTTTTTATATGTTTTATTAACCAATTTTAGATGAGCTTACTTTTTGGGGTGCTATACATGTATTTGTGAATTTTTGGCCGTATGGAATTTTATAATTTTTATTTCGCAAAGAAGATTCTTCAAATTCTACCAGAAAACCAGAAAACATAAAAAGTGTAGGACAAGGATAACGAAATTTGTGAATTGACATTCTATTTTTTGTATTATAAGTTTTTGTATTCATCAAAAATATCGAAATAATTAACAGTCAAACTTGTAAAATTTATTATAACAATATTGTAGTAATATTTTATATTCTGCTAAGATCATTGATACGGCAGTATTATACAGTGCCCGACAAAAGTATCCCCGCACCGATAATTTTTGATTGATCATGTGTAGGTCCCTGAAATTTTATTGGATATATAGCACATGTACATCACAAACACTGATCATTGATATCTTGATAGATTCTATATCGGGGGTATTGCATGTTCATAACGATAAACTTTCATACTCCAAATACAATAAATCGGTCACTTTAGGACATAATATCTCAACATCCAGTGATCCGATTTGAGCGGAATTATTACCATTCGATTTGTCTAATCTAGGCAAATCAAATCATGGTATTTTCGCTCAAATTGGATCACTGGATGTCGAAATATTGCATACTAAAGTGACCAATTCATAATTCGCCGATCAATTTTTCATTAGAAATTGATCACCTAAAAATGAATCGAATGTGTATCTCGATCTCCAGTAATCTGAGTCAAATAAAAATAATACCATTCAATTCGTCTTGACTAGACGAATTGAATGGTATTATTTTTATTTGACTCAGATTACGGAAGATATCAAAAAAATGAATCTGCTACTTTAAGATGTAATATTTCGATATCCAGTGATCCGATTTGAACAAAAATACTACTATTCGATTCGTCTAGTCGAGACAAATCGAATAGTAGTATTTTTGTTCAAATCGGATCACTGGATGTCAAGAATTAGATTATTGGATATTGGGATGTGTGTTATGAAATGACTGATTATATTTGGGATGCGAAAGTTTATGAACATACAATACCCGATATAGAATCTCTATCGCTATCAATCAATAAAAAGTATCAATGATCAGCGTTTGTGATGTATTATATGCATATAAAATTTCAGGGACCTACCGCTACAGATGATCTAGTAAAAATTATCGGTGTGGGGATACTTTTGTCGGGCACTGTACTTAATGTTGCGTTGACCTCTAGATAATCAATGTGGATACCGATACGCGTAATAATATTAAACGATGTAATATTTATGACACAAGAAAGAAAAAGGTAATGTTCATTCATAATGAATATTTCTAAATCGTCTTACAATACGAATTATGCAAGAAACTAATTATGGAGGGATTATTTTTTGAGTGATGCATGAACCAGATGACAAATAATTGACTTGGATTTAGTTTGCAGTATGTTTGATGTTTTGAGTTTATTACACCAGAAATAACTTTAACTTATTAAAAAGTGCATTTTCAAATTTTGCAAAAAGTCAATCAACTGCTGTAATCTTGGTATTGTGACAATATTTCAGTTTGATTAATTTTCACTATTCAAAAATTCGTAGTACAAAAAATTCCAGCGAATATGGTGATGATAAATATGTATATAAAGATAATAATAAATATTCATTGATAATTAATCATCAAATATTAACTTTTAATCGGTTTTTAAAATTCTAATTACAGCGAAATAATTAATACCAGTGTTATAAGAGACCTATCAAATTTTTCTAAATGTTAAATATTTTGATAAACTTATTTCTAGCAACTTTGCCATGTCAAAACCAATAATGTACATGTGCCTAGAATTTAGCCTAAACCCTAGACAATTAAAATATGACTGTTATACATTATACAATATAATACTAAAAAGTAAAAAAATAATAATTTCGATAATATTTTATTTAAATATTTATCAAATCAAAATAGTTTGTTCAAATTCAATAATAATTAATATCGATATTTATTTGATAAATTGTTTATTTTTGACCAGATTAACAACCGGGTATTTTTATCTTATAAGTCAACGCTGATTACAAAGACGTGATCGGGACCAGCACTTTTGGGTTGTTATATGCAAATGTTACTCTATCCAATATAGTAAGTATATAAAAAATTTTTTCGTTCCAAGCTAACAATGTTACTGTATCCAATATGTTATTATAAAGAATGTTACTGTAACCAGTCCAGTGTTGACTGTATTTGAACGAAAAACTGAATAAAAAAAAGTAATTCTTATATGGTGCAAACGGTCTAAAGACATCCAATATATCCAATATATCCAATTATAGTTCTCATCAAAGGTTATTTAGCAACGTATTTTTTTTTGTGTTTGGATTTGGATGTCTTTAGACCGTTTATTTGTTAACTTGTTTCTCAATGAAATTTGGATACAGTTTTGAAATTAGCTTTTACTTTTTTACCAGAAAATTAGATATATTTTGATTTAACATGCACATATAAACACTCACCCTTTACCATATAATAAAAAATTGAAATTTTCCCTTTATATTAAAGTTTTTCAGTTAATACTATTTTTATATTGCAAAAAAGGTTGTACATGTATAAGTAAATTTACATTTATTATAAAAAATTTTTACAATCACTTTGCAATCGGGCAAAATATCTTTAAAAAATCCAAGCAAAAGATATTTTATTTTAAAAATATTTATTAATAAAATTACAAATTTCAATATGAAGAAAAAATTACAATTTTACTATATTTTTAGTATATTGTAGGAGGATGCATATCTCATTTAGCAAATACATGTATTCATATTCTGGAGAATTAAATAAAGTTTAAATTATGTTCCAGAAAATAAAATAAAAAAATCTGATTAAGTTTCACTAACTGAAAAAAATCTTAATAAAATATTTATGTCAAAATTAATTGATTGGATAAATAAAAACATTCCAGGGAAAGCATTCAAAATATATAAATGATAAAGCATTTATTTTAGCACCCATAATTTTTAAACAATTTCACTACTTCGCGTACTATCACGATTGTTTTCCACATTAACTACTTGCGGAGAATGCATATGACCTTCCGCAATTATTTGTCTCTCCCGTCTTCGTCGATAAAAGAACACAGCGACAATAACAGCAACTATTATAACAGCAGCACTGCCAATCATACTTCCAATAATGATACCTAAACGTGACGATGACGATGTTTCGGAAACTGATGTTTGTGATGGATTTATAGTGGTCGGAGAAGGAGTGTCGGACTCGCTAGGTATCGGTACAATATCTCTTAGTTTGAATTGTTCAACCCAACTATATGAATTGTTATTTGTGTCGAGGATGCTTATTACATTTTTAGAGATTGGAACACTGTTAATGTCTTCTTGTTGTGCTCCTAGAATCAATCAAAAGGGAAGTTTAATTCGTTTTCAAATGAGAATGAGCAATTATACCATGAATATGTTTAATCGTATTTACCAAATGCAACTATCATATAATTATTGTACATAGTCGCAGTATGTCCATGCCGAATCACTGGGGGATTATTAATATTCGGTAGTGACCACCTCCACTTCTTCGTATCCAGAATAAAGAGAGCTTGATCATTAGTGAGAGGTATAAGACTATATCCTCCATAGATGATTATAGTAAATCGATCTGGTCCTATAATCAAAATTTTAAATTAATGCAATTCTAATCTTTTCAGATCCATAGCGATAGGATTAAATTACCCAAAACAGCAGTATGTGAAGCACGCTCCTTGACATTAACTCCTGAACAATTCTGAAAAAAATAGATTATCCGTATTATTGTAAAAGCTTCCTAAATATTTTTAATTTCAAAAACTACATACCCACCTTAAACTCCCATTTATCAGTTGTCGTATAATAAATCCATACCTATATCGAAATTAATATCAAAGAAGCTAATAAAAATTCAAAAATTTTGAAAGTGAATTTCTTACTTCATTCATATTTCTATATCTGTCACCACTTATGTATTCACCGCCTATATAAATAATTCGGCCATCATCTAACAATGTGGCAGTATAATCAAATGCCGGCATTAAAGCTGAATCTACAGACCCGATATATGGTACAGCTGACCATGTGTTTTGGACCACTTTTAATTTATACATTGTTGTATCTAAATTACCACGAGTTGGTCCAGAGTCTGCTTGATTTGATCCAGAAAAAATATAAATTGTTCCAGTGTTATCAATTACCGAGTTTAAGCTTCTTCGAGTCGAAGGTCCATTCTTACTCAATGGAAATGATTCTATGGTCGATTCGTTTAACTTAATTAATGATTCGTTCTGGCTGAGTATATTCTGATTGTTTTCTTTGTTAAGCTAATTAAAGCAAATGGTTATATCAATATACATGAACATAAACTACATGTAGTTTCTAAACTTACTGTTACACCGCCGATAATAATAATTTGAGTATCATTATATACATTAGCAGTATGCCATGCAATAAAGAGCGACGAATTAAGATTGATCCGTTTAAATGGCAAATTGTCTATTCCAAAATCTGCAGATAAATCTAAATAGAAAACATCAATTTGAAAAGTTTTTTCATCCCACCCTCCAACAAAATATATTTTGTCGTTAATAAGATTTGCGGACTGAGCGTATCTAGCTGACGGAATATCGGTATACTGCGATAATGTCACTTGAAATAAAACAATAAAAAAAAGTATCCAAAAGCCATCTTTTCTAACTTTACTTATTATAAATAATATATGTAATAAATCCATGCTCTGAATTTTGGCAATTATCATTACGGCCCTTTTTAAATGTTATAAAATATTTATATAAATATAAATTTTTACGGAGTTCCAAGATTCATTTTTTATTCTTATAAAAAGGGTTGCTCTTATACATGTCCTCTATAGTCACACCCGTTTATAGTCACACCCCTCTATAGTCACCCTGTTTTGCTTTCCCATTTACATATAAACATAGCGATAGTAAAAAAACCCTCTATAGTCACATCCCCTCTATAATCACCAAATTTTGATTTCCCGAGGGTGGTGACTATAGAGGGGTTTGACTTTTATAAGTTTAACGTCAACATTAATAACATATTGATATCGACATACAGTTCGTAGTTCTGTACATGTTATATATAGCGTTAGAGTTTTTATACATGTATGCAGTATGTATACAGGAGTGCATTTATGTACATGCACATGTATCCCCACCCGATTTGGATTAGTGTGATCATCAATACCTAGTTTGGCGATTGAGTTGTGTAATATTTGTTGAGGGATTCGGTGTTTCTTTGGCGCGTGTGAAGTAGTGGGTTGGAATTGTGGTAACGGTAGTTTCAATAATAGCATAATTTCTTCCTACAGTCAGACTGTGGCATTTCACACGATTGCTTACTCTAAACTCCAGTCGTGTTTGTCTATTTAGTGAGCATAGCGTTATCCCCGGCTTTCCGCATATCTGCTCTTCCATAATTTTACTGACTTGGAATTTCCATCGTTCGTTCTTCTGGTGCTCGTCTTTTTTAAAATGATTTTTTTGTTTTTTTGTTCCATTTAATATACATGTAACCGATTTGGTAGGCGATTTTAAAGACGGTTTTTCTAATTAAGGTAAGTTGGCAACTTCTAAATTTTCTTGCATTACATAGACTTACCGTTACCCCGCGCTTCTATGACCTTTTAATCCTATTTGGCATCGATTCGTACAAATTTGTACAGTAATCGATATCTACGCTCTTCCACGCGATTTGTAGTTTATCCCACAATCGCTTTTGGTGGAAAGTGACCCAGGAAGTTATCTCATGCACGTATCGACTTCGTTCCATAGGTTTTCGATTGAGTTTAGGGTGGCCAGTCAAGCAAAGCAATGTCATTTTTAGCGAACCATTTCTTTGCTTTTCCGGAGGTATGTTTTGAGTCATTATCTTGCTGAAAGATAAACTCACTATTCTCCAGCATTTTCTCCCAGACCGTCCCTAAAAAATTATTCAGTAGACATCTGTATTCATTATTACATCAATTTTTTGCAACTCGCCAACGTTGTCAGCTGTCACGCAACCCCAAACCATAATCGAACCGCCATAAAATTTCACAGTTGGCGTGATATGCTGTTCTTTCAACGGTTCGCCGGGTTTCTTCCAGTAATATTTTCGGCCGTCTGATCCAAAAATTTGGTACTTGCTTTCGTCAGAAAAAATTACGCGTCGCCAATCGTCGGCTGTCCAACTTCGGTATTTTTCGCCCACGCCAATCGTTGTTTTCTATGTGTTTTTTGAGGTAAGGCTTTTTTCGCTTGATACTCGCGAATAAGCCGTTTCTTCGGAACATACATCGTATGCACTCCGCCGAAAGGTTAATCCCATCAACGGCGGTGGTGCATTTTCCGGAGTAGATTAATCGTAAAGCATTTCGTTCGTAGCGCGCTGAGAGGGTTTTGGCTTGTCGAAACTTCTGATCTCTTCTTTTTTATATGGACGGAAGCTAAACCCACCTTCTTTGATGCTGCAATTTCCCGGATCGAATATCTTTCCTGTCGGAGGGCTGTATTCGGGCGCGTTTTCTTGTGAAATTCGAGTTATTGGAGGTAAAGATTTGATTATTTATTCACAGTAAATGAGAATTCCAAAGCATTTGTACTTAACTTTTATAGCCTTCCATTCACTATTATATTCGGTTATATTAAATGGAACGCCAAAAAAAATTATAATCTTTTTGTTAGAAGATAGATCAAATTGACTTACCTTTACCTGTCGCTATTTTTTTTCGGTGTTGTTGTCAACAAAAAGTCGGGGTTTTTTTTATCATAAATATACATGTGTATGTAATAAAGCTCAGAAAGTTAGCGATGGAATAAGAAAGTTTACTTTGAAAGTTCAGAAATAACACGAGGAGCACATCGAATAGCTCATTTTAGGTATTATGTAACGAAGCAGTAACTTTGATCGTCGCAAATACATGTACATGTAGGTATTTACGAACCAGAACAATATCGCTATTACATCATCGTGGCTTACAAAATCAAATTGTGGTAATGAATTAAAGACATCTAGATAGTGTAACGACGAGGAACGCACATACGTACATTATTACATATTCAGTTCACAGGAAAAAAAATACATGTACGTACATCTTTTAGTTATACAGTCGTACCTCACCCTCGCATATTATTCTTGCCCCATACTTTTTGGCAAAGCGTGTATGTAGAACATTAATTTACACATATACATGTATATTGTAGATAATATACTGTAATCAAGTCAATAAGTCATTATATAACCATAAATTAAAGAATATAAATCGGAGTAACGAATATAATTATAATTTGATAACACTAATTTCTAGTCAAACTCTTGATTTATACAAACTGATTTAAATAAACGAATATTGAATTATTTAAGGCACGTTCTAAATCTTAAATTTTTATCCAGGATTCAAAAATCCAGACTCAAATAAAAGTTACGCATAGCAAATTGATAATCTTCTATAGATTGGTTTCATAGTTTTAAATTTACATTCATGAGTCTTTTAGCTAAATAGTCGTGCATGAAATTTAAACGTATTAGTTTCTCTAGAGAAATTTCTTATCATTATATGCGAATTCTTGTGTTAGAACTTTATTCAGCTACTTATTTATTTTCACAATAAGCCAACTTCGAAGATAATAAAAAATACCTTATTGGTGACAAAATAGATATCGATATTACTCGTTTAGAATTCAAGTATGTCAGCGATTGACGCACGATAATTCTCAGATTTACTATATAGTTTACTTTCGAAGCTTTATGTCAACGTTCTCGATGATTTTGTACCCGCCCGGGAATAAGCACCATTTTTTTTGGATCGCCAGGCCTCGGAAATGGTGGTGATGGTGGATTTGCATTACTTAAATTACAGTCAGACTCCTCTATAATACACTCCTATAGTCACAACTACACCTATATTTGGTACTAAGTTATTATTGAACTTGTAAGAAATTTTTTTATATTCACACTTACTTTAATCGCTATTTTCCTTTATTCCCGATCATGGGAGATCTGACTGTAGTCTTTTTGTACTATATTTTCTTTATCAGGGTTTATAACGCGTCTGGAAGTCTCCAGACACGTTCTTACACTGCTACAATACAATATACTAAGGTTCATGGCTGAAATTGGATACTTATTATGACTGTAGCATTAATACAATATAGTATCGGTATGTAAAATATTTAATTTAGACGTAGTTCTTCATAACTCATGATATACAGTACTAAGAAAAAAATCAAGAAATATGATATTATCAATTTCAATATCATTTTTATACTTACAGTTGTGGCCAAAAGTACCCGACCCCCCTTAACTTTCCGTAGATCATGTGTAATGCACCAAATTTTTCCGAGCACAAAGGACTTTACAAATGCTGATCATTAATACTTTTTATAGGTTGATAGAGCTTCTATATCGATATCGGATATTGTATGCTCATAAACTTTCACGTCACAAATATAATCAGTTATTTCATAACACACATCTCAATATTCAATAATCTAATTCTCGACGTCCAGTGATCCGATTTGAACAAAAATACCACTATTCGATTCGTCTCGACTAGACGAATCGAATAGTGGTATTTTTGTTCAAATCGGATCACTGGACGTCGAAATATTGCATCTTAAAGTAGCAGCTTCACTTTTTTGATATTAACAAAAATTAATCAGCAGCCAATTTAGAACGTGATATCTTGACCTCCAATGATCCGATTCGAACAAAAATAATATGCATATATATATATATATATACCATTCGATTTTCTAGTCAATACGAATCGGAGATCAAAATATTACGTATATATGTCCTAAATTGACCGATTCATTTTTTTGACGATCATTTCTAATGAAAATTGATCGCCAAATATGAATCGGTCACTTTAGGACATAATATCGATATCTCATCAGTGGTTAAACTTGAGTGAAAATACCACCATTTGATTTGCCAAAATTAGACAAATCGAATGATGGTATTTTCACTCAAATTTAATCACTAGATGTTGAGATATTGTGTCCTAAAGTGACCGATTTATTGTATTTGGGCATGAAGTATATGAACATACAATATCCAATATACGTAAAAGCTCTACCAACCTATAAAAAAGTATCAACGATCAACATTTGTAATGTTCTTTGTGCTCGGAAAAATTTGGTGCATTACACATGATTTACGGAAAGTTGGGGGGGGGGTCAGATACTTTTGGCCACGACTGTAGATGGGTTTATTTAGGTCATTTGTCGTGTGATTATGCTTTTAACCAATAGAGTTTCAGAGGGTCATTTTATTTAGAGTGCCATTTATCAAGTGATTATTATTTATTATAGAGACCACCTCTCCTTAATGATATGATATCAAATTTCTAAAGATTTTATTGAATAAAAGTTAAATGACCTTGGTCATGGGTTATTTAACTTTCGAAACGACCGTTCATTGATTATTGATCATTTGGGTCATTCAGGTCATTGTCAACAATAACCACAATATGCATTAAACGATGGCATTATTTTGACTTTATTTGTGTGTGTTAAAAAAGAGTACGTAACATCGATTTCTATGCATAAAAAATGAAACAGAACGCATCAAAAAGAAGCTTTTTATTACTTCTATTATTGTGTGTAAATAATAAAAGGCTTTTATTATACGTACAGCAATTATCGTAGGCGTAATATGTCAATTTTTCATGTGAAATTCTTTGCACGTTAACATAAATTGAAGTTCTACGATACGAATGTGATGTGTATACCGTACCGTATACGAACATGTATCACGTGCCGCAGTACTCCGGGTACGTACATGTATATTGCAAATTCTGGTCAAAACCTATCGCTATACTTAGGCCCGTGATATGCGGTAAGTTACTTCACAGAGATACATAGTTTTATTACCGTGGATTTTACCCATATGATAATAAACATGACTCACGATTTAAAATTATATAGTAAAATACATATAAAAATTAGTTTGTTTATTTTACAATTAAAACAGTTCTTTCAATTTAAAAGTGACATAAGAATTGTTCATTTGTTCAAAATACAATCGATTAGCTTTTAAAATGACATTACGTAATTTAGAAATAGTTACTAATAGAATATAGGTAACATGAATTTTCAATTTCATGAATTTTTTTACTTTCCAATCAAAACAGTCCTTGTATTTAAGTTGCCACAAGTCTTGTATTATTTTTTCAAAATTACAATCAATTACGTAGCTTTAAAATGATTTAAAAATAATTATTAAAAATTTAGATATATACGTACATAACTTGAAAATTTCCATTTTTTATCGTTATATGTTTTATTATTTAATTTTGGACCGGACACTACT